GGGATCCCTTTTGGATATGATCACAAAGGGGTGCCGAACGAACGGAGGATAGGGGTCCCCGTTATCCCCTCACTGGATGGGACGAAAAACCACCCCGACGTGACTCCTGATATCTGGACATCACCAGATAACACGGGTAATTGCAAATATCCAACAACTACCTCAAAAACCATAACCAAACCAAGATTTGCGCCCTCCAAAAAACAAAAAAAGCCAACAGAAAGGGCTCTCCTTGTCTCAAGGTCTTCACGACTCTTCACACTTGTTATTCGATCTTCCAAGTCGACACCACAGGCGCCACGGACCACCGCGGAGCAGGAACGAGGATCTGGTTCTCTTCGACACTGGGCGAAGGGTCCAAACCTGGAATCCCCACTTCACCCTCGGCGTTGACCTGTCGTGCTTGAAAAGGATCGGGTTTCAGGGAGTTGGGGTGCCTGTGGGTTTCATCCACGGCCCCTATAATAGTATGGGTCTTCAAGCCGGACATGAATGACCCAACCTCCCCGGTGAGCTTTCCGACGGACTCGTCGTGTCCTGTTCGTCGGACCTCGCTGGCCCTTGCTGGCCATTCTGGGTGGAAACATCCAACGAAGCATCCAACGTGTGAGCGGATTTGACACTGAGGATTGCCAACAGAACTCAGAAAAAAACACTCTCACGTGGCGGCTATGGCTAATCATGGCTATGGGTCATGGCGCCAGATGCTGGTTGACCAAACTCCTTGGAACCGGATCCAGATTCGTTCCACACCAACGGTCGTCCGTTCCGTCGTTCGACACTTTTCGGCCTCGGTCTGGTCCAGCTTTTGTGCCATCTCCAAGAGCCTCTCTTGCAAGGCGTTTCTCTCCTGCGAACCAAACTTCCAGGTTGGACTTCTCCAATTCTCTCTATAGAGAGAATAAAGTTTGCAGTCTCAGGGATTTAGAAGGGGTATCGTTTCAAAACTGGTCACTCGTTAGGTCGAACACTGCAATGAACATCCAAACAAAGAGAAAACTCCAAACTCTATTGTCTATTGAGTTGAAACTGAAACATCTGAAACTATCCTACAGCACGCAACGGGCACTGTGTCACCTTGTATCTTTGCCGTTTTTGCCATGTCACAAGTGGCCGAACATGCATGAACAAACGCAAGGCATTGTTAGAATGATAGAATCGCAGCTACTTCAGGACCCAATCCAAAGGTCAAGTCCACTATGTGTTAATTACTAGTAGCGATCCTCCAACCTGATAGCGATGGCCTCCACCTAGTAGCTTCTATTGTTACTATCGCGAAAAACACCTCCAAAAACAGACCGCCAGCGCAGCCGCTCCCATCTCCTCAAGCCATTCGTGACGTTCCTGGCCTCACGCGTGACGCTCAGGAGCGAGCGAGCGAAACACGGAGGTGTCTACACTCCCCTTTCAGCACTGCAGTCACCAGGGAGGGAGGGATTTGCAGCTGCATGCAGCTGCAGCAAATCCACAGGCCATTAGTTTTGACGGTTTTGGGTGGCCAAATGACCAAGGCAACCTCACTTACAAGTAGCCTCTTGCTGAGGTCTGTCAGGAAGGCCTTAACGTGGATACTGACATGAATCTGTTCCAGTTGGCATTGACAGTAGCAGAATGAAACGGCAAGAAGAGGCCAGCTTTGCAAGTGGTTTGTGCGCTGCCATGCAATTCTCAGCCCTGGAGATTCCCAAGGCAACAAACATCCCCTTCTAAACTGGCTCCTCCTCTCTCCCTGCCGCACCTAAAACGTCTTGCCGCTGGCGAAGCTCTTCCATTTCCTGTGCACCACGGACTTGAGCTCGGAATACCCCGTCAATGCTTGGTCACCGCATCTTCAGACATCGGGGACAGAAGGTTCCAAACGGAACTCTTGGGTGGCTAAGCCGCTATGCCCTCTGACATCGGAACACGCTCCAGAAGTACCCAACCGCGTGCCACCTGCGGCAGCTGCCACCTGCCGTGGATCCGGGTCCTGGGCTCCCCGGATCCGATGCGCTTCGCGCGTTGAAAGGTCCTTCTCCATATCATCTCTCACAGCTTGAAAGGCCTGAAGAAGCGAGCACGCGGGCACAGGGGCGCCGCGAATTGATGGATTTTCTCTTTGGTGTGTTTGGGACAGAAGAAGCGCGTCCGAACGAGTATTATGCATATATCTATAGATCTACAAGGATCTACGATCAATGAACCACTCAAATTCTCGGTGTTGCACTGGATTGAGCAGTTCTTACTGTAGGTTGTCAAGGAGATGCAAAACCCAACAAATCCTCAGGACCTTTCATGATCAAGCATCTTGTATCGTGGACGTGTTGGCTTCAGGGTGATTGTCCTCACTCCTTGTTCTTCTCATCTGATTCCAAGGAAAAGGTCTGTCTGTGACACTCTGGATACTCTTGAAAGTGTATACCGTCTAAAAGCTCGGAACAAAGATCAGTATACCAATGTATACCATATCTAAGACTTAACTTGCTTCCTATCTGATAAGTTTACCATAGCTCACCTTTCACCCTACTATGCTATTCCCTGCTACACCCGACGTGAAAAACGTGGTCCATTCAACAACTACGGTTTCTTCCGGTCAGAGGAATCGCCTCTGAGATCCGGGTGAGAAAGCCCGGTTCAGCCTGTTCGTCTCTCATCGAATCGGGCTGCCCCAAAAACACCCAGGGCCAGTGAATACTTAAAACTAACAATTTTTCGATGGATCAGTCACATGCATGATCCAGCACCTCTTCCAGTGAAAAGTTCAGAACTGCAAGCGCTTGTACAGCACAGTCCCTATAGAACAATCCTGGACATGGAACATGGACTGTTGGATGACCATGATTACTTCAGGGAATCCTCGTGTCTTGCCTCTTGTCTTCTCCGTTACAAGTCCATCAACGCCCAGAAAAACACGCCCACCCTCCCTGATCGCGCTCGACGCAGTCGAACCGCCTCAGCAGGAGCCTCACTGACGCTCAGTCGAGCACCTAGGCGGCACGGTTAATTGCATGCTGTTTCATGCTGTTTCCTTGCTCCTCCGCTCTCCTCCGGCTGAACCACTGGCTGAACCCTAGTAGCCTACTAGCCCCTAAGAACCAACACCCTAAAAACCCATGGTGCAGTCACCTACTTCGAATTGATCCGCACCTGGCAGTTGAACAAAAGGTCGTTGTGGTTCTGAATTCTGGTTCATCAAAATAGCCTTGCACGAATCAAACATTGCTTTCGCTAATCTTTCGGCAACCCCATATTTAACCTTCGCTGGGATCATATCCAAGAACTTATCTCAGACTCTTCTTGGTCTGCCCATTACCACACCCAGCGTTGCATTTGAGCAGTGGCAGTTGGTCATGTTCGTGCCTGTCTTTGAATCCTATTTCTTGAATCCTTCCCAAAGAACATGTGGGCAGGGGTCTTCCCTGCGTGGCTGTTCTTCGACGAAATTCGCATCGTTTTTTCTTGACACAAGTTCTCCTGGGTGTGAAAATGGCCCTTTATCCAATGCGGTGTTCAGTGTTCGCAACATCACCTTTTTGGGGATTTTGCCATTATGCCATCGAAACCATGCCATTACTGTACATCAAAGCAACGCGAGGTTTGCAACGCGAACGGTTTGTACCTCATGTCCTGACAGGGACCTTTTGTGCAATGACCCCTCGCCTGGGCACGCGTGACTGGCCACTGACCCAACTGTTCTCTTCGCAATCTGGACCAACCGGTGACGACAGGTGTCTTCACTATCCCTCAGCATTTTGAGATCTGGTTAGTTGGTTCCAACTGACTTACGAAAAACATGAGTCAGTGGGTGACCGGATGGATCGTCCTCCCCAAAAAGCTGGTTAACCATCAGGGCAACACCCGTAGAACTTACTCTGATTCATGCCTTTGAACCGGCCTAGAGGCCTCGTGTTCCGCCCCAGTCGCTCTTCATTCGTTCCAAGGTGGATCTGCTTTGGTCCAACAGTCCTCGCCGCGGTCGCTAGTCGTCGGCGACCAACAACCAACGACCGGTGACTCCCGACTGGTGAAAGCACTGCTCCAAATGAAGAGATTATAAGAGACTTTTTAAAGCCTAGATTGGCATAGCAGAGCAGAGCTGCTGGTGGTCCGTTCACGACATGTTGATGTCCCTTCCAGAATTTACATGTAGCTGAAAGCAGCTCTTTTCCTTCTCTTCCTTCCATGGCTCTACACTATGTCACTATGGACTATGGATATATATTCCAGAACCAAAGCCGCACGTGTCACATAACCGATCATAACAGCACAAAATATCAATTGCATTCAAAATATTTCAAAACTATATTCAAATGTCAGATCTATCATCAATCCACTTCCTTGTCTTATAATATCTTATAATTAATTGAATTTACCAAGCAAACCTAACCCGATTTGCGGCAGCACCATCATCCTCACTATCATCACTCTTGTTGCCAGCACCACGAGCCATGAACATCACGCCTTTTTTCGCTGGCCATGTTTGGGCCATCCTCCAGAACCTCGTCAGACCGAGTACTCCACCGATGTCACCCTCTGGGAGGGGTGCCCGAAGCGCCTTGCACATGCCGCAGGTTGCCGCGCGACCTGGGAGCACCACTGGGTGGACGAACCGCTGGCCGCGATGGCCAAGCTACTAGCTTCCACCCTAAGGAACGATGGCCTTCAACCTCAGAGCGCGAGTTTCGGCCATGGAACATCATGAAACAAAGCACTCAACCAATCAATTCTTGTCCCTGAAATACCACTCGATCGCATTGCACACCCGTGTGAGACCGGACCGTGGAGAGAATGGTTCGGAGCACAGCCGATGCTCAGATCACTGACCATGCTTTCGGTGGCCAGGTGTGTCACAGTACGTGCCCCCAAGTACCGAAACGGAGCATCCGGTGGCTACATGACTTGGGGAGAGTTTCTCCATGAACGGTACAATAGTACAGGAAGATTCCATGGTGTCCCGAAGACAGCTAGCAGCTAGCACAGTTCGACGAGCCCAAAGCCGACCGGTTCACCAGGTCAAGTGCTTTTCCCACTAATCCGGGCCTTCTCGCATGCGGAGATTCTCGCACGAGTGGCGGTTGCATCTTGGTTGACAACGGATCATGCAGGTTCCCCATGGTTTCTACAACTGGGCTGTACAAAGTTCTTCTTCCTGTACATCAAAAGACTCTGCCGCATCAGGGCTTCATAGGCCTTCCAAAACTCTTTGGCTGTACAAAGTGAGGGGGCCTACTGAAATGTTCGTGGGTGTGAAACTACAAGCAGGAGCCGGGCATGCACACCCCATTGATGCAGCTTCCTGAAATCGAGGTCTGTCCTGGGGAACACATGGGAGTGGTTGAGCAGCCAAGACACTGGGATTCACAGCTTTGCCCAATACATTGGCCATTCATACAGGTTTGGCAGCTGTCGCACTGGCTGCACTTGAAAGAGCAGGAGAAGCCGGTGCACACTCCCGAGAAACAGGTCTGGCAGGAATCACACAGCCCGTGGCAGGAATCCAGGCTGGAATCGCAAGGAGCTCCCACACAAATTCCTCCCATGCAAGTCTGGCACGGGTCACATGTAGGAAAGCACTCCCTTTCAGCCTGATGTGGAACCCAGTGCTCTTCCGGATGCTCGTTCCGGCCATCATGGTGATCCTCCTCCCTGTGGTGGTCCTCCTCCCTGTGGTGGTCCTCCTCCCTGTGGTGTTCATCCCTGTGGTCTTCATGGTGGTGATCCCAGCGATGCTCCGGATGCTCCCTGTCGCCCTCCGCCCGTCGGCCTCGGAGCCTGACGTCAGGGACCACGCCCGCCGGATCCAGGGCCCAAAGGCTGCAAATCCAAGTGAACACGAGCAAGGCGCGCATTGGCCAAGTTGCTTTTATACGCCGCGAATCTTCAGTCAGGGGTCCGGTCTCAGAACTGAAGACCACACTTCGAGCCGATGTTTGGAAGACACGGCTTGGTGCACGGGGTATCACAGGGTGTCTCCTGCTTGACGGCCCAACAAAGCTTGTTTACAATCATAGCTGGCGCCCACAAATTCATACAAATTCCCCGACCCGGAAAGCAGCCCAAAAATGATCCCGGTGTACCTCCTACTCCTTAACCTGACCAGCGGTGGAAATTAAATGGTCTCTGGATGCTTGACGGAATGGACCAGAGCTTATGGAGTTTACGGTCAGTAGATGTCAGTAGTCTCTTCTAAAGATTCTAAAGACTGTTTGAGGCTGAGCCAAATTCAGCACTTTCAACGTTTCAGGTCCTGAGCTCATCTGAGCTCCTTATGAAACCAGTTAACCATCTCGCGGCCGAGTGACTCATCCAGCTCTTTCTGAAGCCGCAGGTTTTCTTCGGCCAGGCGCGCGTTCTCCTGTGATCCCCAAAGATCAGCTTTCAGGGGTCCCACTGGAGATCACTGGAGCAATGCCTATAGAGGTCAGTTTGACCTCACTGGAGTTGATCACAGACCCCAAACAGTTTTCGGATGGATTCTGGGCGTCAATTCCTTGAATTCCAATTCAATCTTTTTTGGTAAAGATGCCCTTTGCTCCTAGTAAGTAGCGTCCTTGTTTCAATTATGATTCTATGTAGATGCTTTTGGGTATGCCCAGCATTCATAGCCGCAAGAAACCAAAGCCGGTTTCAGGGAAAACGGCGCGGCCAAGCAAGGGACAAGGCCCGGACAAGGTGGTGATGAGAGGGCCGACAACGCGGCCAAACATGAACACAGACCCCTTGTCAGTCCCCGGACACGGCGGCCACGGCACGGCCAGCCCTTTTGGATTCATCGGTTCATGACAGCGAGAGAACCGCGACAGTAGACTGCTTGGGGAAAAACAAAGAAAAAACACGTTCCTCCTTCTTCGGTGTTCAGGCTTTGAACGGCGCAGCAGTCCAGACTGCGACTGGGACAAATTTCATGGGAGCGGGACATCGAAGCGGCTCCGGTTGCATCGGCCGGTCCTCGGCCATCTTCATGTCGGGCGCCGAGGACCTCAGAGCTGTGTCGGAGATCGGGTGGGTCAGGAAACCACGGATCCAATGAGTGAAGTGAAAAAGTGATTAACTCAACATATATTTAACATGTTAAACATGTATTACTTAAAGTTAAAAAGGCATTCAACACTACATGAGCTTATTTTTTCAGAGCCCCCCTAGGTGTCCACGAAACACCTCTTCTCGGGGCTAACATGACATTGATAAAACTACATGACATGACGAAGTTCTACAGGGATGCCGAACGTGGAGGAAGTATGCCCCAAACATCCAATCACTGCACCATTCCTTTGGCGCTGCGGCCGTTGCCTCCAAAAGGGGCGTGGTTTTGGCTGCTAAGGTGACCAAAGACCAAAACGGAGGGCCTGGACGTCCGAAAACCACCTATGGGTGTGAGAACCTCCCCGTTGCCCCTGGAAGCACCTGGTGGCCGTGCGACATAGGCAGGTCCCTACAAATTCAATGGTTTCAGAGTAGATGGCACTGGCACCCTACATGTCATTTAGATGGGGGTTCCATATAAACTGCCGACATTGGGGTCTGTGCCATCTACTCTCAACCCACTATATGATGTTGGGGGGTTCAAGTGCACGAACTCCGGCGCCGGGTCCTGGCGTCCCATTCGATCTGGAGCCCTGGCTGGATAGACTGATCTATTGCCTTCTTAATCTTCTTAATTAGTCCCTATTTTTAATACACACCTAGATGGGAGTTCAAACATAACATGTTATTGGTATTTTTTGGGCGTGTAGGACCTGTGTAGGATGCCTGTTTGTTCCATTCGCAACGTGTGGGTTCGCAATGTGTGGGATGCTGCATGTGCATCCCAGTTCGGCCACGTCCATTGCCTTAACCTGGGGCCCCCAAACGTACTCGCGCGCACTCGATCTGAAAAGCTCTGCGTCATGTGTCCTTCGCTGCTCGGAGTATCAAATGGAATCAAATGGACGTACATCTGCCTCAAAGACAACTGTGTCGATATTACATGCCGGGCCCAGATTGGATGGCATCGCCACATGTTCTCGTCACATCCTATGCCCGCCCGCCCGCGTCATCCTTTAGACCTTGCGTGTCGCTGGGCGAAGGAACGACGCGCCTGGAGTTTTGGCGCCAGCCTCTCACCGAACGGCACGAACGGCACGGTGGAGCACCATGGGATGATTCAATTGGACCGCAAAAAAGGCTATCTGAGTGAGCCATCGTGAACCTCCAGCTTGATCAAATCTGATGCACCATGTCGGAGGGCGATGTGGCGTACTTCATGCTTTGGCATAACTGGTAGTTACATAGTCAGCAAGCTGACGAATGTTCAAAATCATCACACTGGTGCCCTTCACCCCACGAAACACCCGCTTGCACGCCGGAACTGTTTTGTCTTGGAAAGCACCACCAGCCCTGTGCTCTGGTTCGTTCACGGGGATTGGTGGATTACCTTGGTATATCATGGTATATCCTATTCCCAGTAACAGTGGATGGTGATGGTTAGCATGGTTAGCAAAGGCCTCTCTCTCAAATAGTCATGTTCTTGTTTACTGACTGACTGTTACAGGTCAGTTCGGACACACCCAAGATAAACCAAAACACTTGAACATGTCAGCGGGTGTGAACCCGGGGGAGGACAAGTCTCTCGGTCTGTCGAGTCTGGACATCACACAACCGAGTCAACGGAGGAAAACATGTGGTGCACCTTGGTGCCGTGTGCAAAAATCACGGAATGGCTGGCGTAGCCTCAATCTTGAAGGTTTTGGAGTTCTGATTGCTTTTTGGATGCAAAGCTATGCAAACGCGGGTCAAGAATTGTAAACGTGTGTTTCACTGTGGCGGCTGTGCAAGAAATCTTCCTCGGCACACAGTGGAAGAAGAAGCCTCGTGACATGCGAAGTGGCAAACCATCGGTCCACCTTCACCGCACGAAGTACGGTTGAAAAGAACCAAGAGAGGTTGAGAGACCGGAACCAGGACCCTGGTCTGTGGTACATATGACATATGGGATGGGCGAAAAAGGGCTGTTCAACCACTCTTGGCACGATGCGATCGCAAGACCCACGCCATCCAAAGGGCCACGGCCATGGGGGGAACGCTCTGGTCGCCTTCGAACAGGCGAACGTGGCGAAGGCGAAAAGATCCGATCCCGGTGCCTTGGTCTGACTCGACAGGATCGCTGTGAGGCTTTCTTCTTCACCTTCTGACTCCTGGCGAAGACGGCAGTGGGTTTCTTCGGTTTCTTCGAACCCCAGCACAGCGGAAAATGCCCAGCAAGTCTTCGGAAGAAGCCTGGGGTGTCCAAAGGTCTTCACCAACACGTCCAGCAGATTTGGCTGATGACAGTATGCCGGACACCTACGAAGTAAACGATCGCCGAACCACAGAAATGATTTCGTCCCTCGGCAGGAAACTCTTGACTCTGAACAGTGGTTCATCGCGAGGTTTGACCACCCGTCCTGTCTTCATACGCTAGGCACCTTTTTGCACCTAGCTTGACCACCCACTCCACTCAACCCTAAAGATCCCAGTCAAGTTGAACAAAGCATGCCCTGTTAACAGTGCGTTTAGAGGTTCCGATGTGAAAGTAGGGAGAGAGGCTCCGGCCCAAGGCAATGCGGTGCTTTCTGTACTTGAACATGAACCATGTTAGACAAACCGCTTTCGCACCCAAAGGTTGAGAACATGATTTGGACGCCGGGACAGTCATGGTATAATATGGTATATAGCTCCTTTTGTGCATGCCGTGTCTTCCATTCCGTTCCTGCTCATGGATCTCAATGGATGGCATGCACCTGTTTGCTCTTCGGAGGTCGTGGTTCGTCCGAACTCGCGGCCATGCCATCCGCGGAACCATCCTCGTCTTGGCACTCCAAGATCTCCTGAGCCGCCCTCTGGCATGCGGCACCTCACGTGCCGGCCATGATCCAAACATAGGAATGGACAATGGAGCCGAATACTTGCATCGTTTAGATATCTCACTTACCACAGGCGGAGGTGATTCACCCCCGCCTATTTAATTCGAAGAGATCCCATCTCCATGTGGCAGGCACATGCGTCATCATGCGCCTGCGCACAGTTATATAACCAACGATGTGATGCACTGAACGTTACTCCATCTGGGTCGACTTCTACGTTCCTGTGTGGTTCCGACTGCCGCCCTCGAGCTCCAGGAAATCGATCAAAGAGGGCCGGGCTCCTGGAGGGACGTCGGCTCGATGACGCCGTGGCGAGCGGGGTGATGCTTGCGCTCCAGTGGCGGCATCGCGTGATGCCGGGGTGGTTCCGAAACGAAGAATCGTAAAAGCACGAACCAGTCGATCGTACCAGTAGCATCAGCGGCAAAGTACTGTGGTATGGCCCAGCCATAAAATATAATCTAGTAGATGCATTGTGAAACTCAAAGCACCTTGGAAGCACAAAACTGCAACTCCAAGTGTCAATAGCAAGGACACATGTCGAAGGCAAATGTCCAAATATCTGGGACGAATTCGCAGGGATTCCTTCACAAGCCCGCAGCGAGCCAACGGGTATTGCATGGTATTGCCACATGCGTTTAGGCCGTTTGGGGCAAGGTGTGGATGTACCTGAAGTTACACATCCGTTCGCCAAGAACATGCACCCCTCAAAGTGGCCGGAGACAATGGTGGAAGGGGGCAAAGGGTGGTGCGAGCGGCTCAGGGTCAAGCCGTACCAGTGCGCGAAGGAGCTGGTAGTAACGATTCACTAGCCGAGCCATGCTGAGCCCCCATTTCGTGGACGAGCCCCCGAAAACGATGTTTGGATCATCTTGCCTTGGAGTTCAATCGCCAATGCCGAAATCACACAAGAATCATCACACAATGCGGCGGCCACATGTCCTCGGCCACGCACACCGAAAAGTACCCAACGTGTCTTTGAAGCTTCTCCAGAGTCTGGTGGTTTAACTTGAGAGACTGTTCGCTCCTGCCATGCGTGCCACTGAAGCAGGCGTGTGCCCATGCTGGTCCCTGTCAACGTTTGCCCGAGGCGCTGACTCCAGGAGTAATGTCAAGTCACGATTAATAAACCTCCCCTAGTTAATCCGAACACACAAAGCCACCGGAAATTACCCAAATTAAGAGTATTATTCGTGTCCAATTCCCCCCCTAATCTTCTAGTTGGGCGTCAGAAACCCCCCCCAGTTAATCCGAGCCCACACAAGCCACAAAAAAAGATAATTGTTTCCTTAATCAATTCATTAACATTTCCTCTGGTATCATCCTTCATGGTCCTATGGTCTCATAGCACATTATTCAGGAGGAGTGGACCTCATGAGTGG